CTTTCTCTATTTTAAATCTTTAGATCTTAGGATCGACTTCGTAATTTTAGTAGACCTAAAGAGTGATTGAATTAATCTTATATTCACTTCAATTTATCTTGCAGTTTACTATTTATATTATTTTTTTTTCTCAATTAATAATTATTTACCCTTTAATTGTCATTTTTGATTCATTTTAAAATATAATTAAATTTGTATATATATTTACTTTCAAGATTTTATGTATCATTTTATACAGCAATATACATCATTTTTATATCAATATATGAACACATCTAAATTGAACAATTTCTCTGACTCTACTTGGCTCTGATGTGGTTGCACGGGCAAATAAAATCTTGCTTTTTTGCATTAAGACAGGCCACACTTAACAACATTCTTTTCAGTTCCAGCTTAATACATGTATTTAAATGTATACTGTATTAAAATGCTATTAATATGTAGAGTATAATATTTTGACTTAAAATTCTTTCATATATGGTAGGGCCGATGGGGACAACAGCTGCCAAAGGCGGCAATTCGATTCAGGCCCAGCCTCGGGGCTTACCAATCACACATATTCCTCTATCGATGCGCACAATTTGCAATTTAAATGCTGATGTTCGTTAATGCGACGAACAACTCAATTGGCAGCCGGACAGATTGTTTAACTGAATAGTATAGTTTATGCGAGTGCGAACTTTCCAACTGCCTGCACATTGTAATGAGATGAATTGTATTTCCCATTAAAGTTTTCACACACATAAATCGCATTCCTATTGCAAATGGGCTACAACTGTGCACTCGACATACAAATTAACTGTTTTTGAGCCGTTAAGCTGATTTCGAGAGGCTTCAATTACACAATAAATGCACTCGATAGATACATAGCAAATATATGAACACATGCTCAAAGTGCATAAGTCTCTCATTTGTAAATTACTTTCTTTTAGGGTTAAGTCCACTAGTCTATAAATAATTAACTTATAATGCACTTACCATATTCATTAAACTCATTATAGAAGCCCTGATGTAGTCGTGATAGTAGAACAGTTAAATGCTTCACTCTTAACGTATCAGTTAATGTATTTCTTCGTTCTCGTTGAACCGTTGTATAACTTAGCATTATTAACTGTAATGCTTGACATTTTCAATAGCATTGACAACTAAGTCTAAGGAACATTTCATCTACTCAACAAACCGGAATGAAAATCTCGTTGTTCAGCTGCCTAACCAACAAGGCCAATTAGGTAAACACAAATATCGAGTACTTCACATCTACAATGCCTAGTAGAATCCATGGGTTAAGTACTACAGCGAGAGCAGTCTTACTTAATATTTCATTTGAATGCCGCTGCTGATCTCTCAGTATTTTATCTGCTCTCATAGCTGCCTCATACAGAGTCAACATCTTTGGGCATGTCATTTGCTCTTCGAATTCAAGCTTAGGAACTGTCAATCACGTTGCTCAGTTTGTCATTAGAAGATCATTTTAATAGTTAGCAAACATAGAAATCATATATATATAAAAGGAACACAATACATGCTCAAAGCCTTTAAAGTGCTTAAGCAAAAAGCTTCTTTCGTTTTTCACTTTCCATTAACATCCATCGGAAGAGAGAACATCAAATGCGATTACACGAAGCGAATTCGGTCGTGCCACATTTGACAGCTTTCAACTTCCGCAACAAAATGCAGACGAAGTTAACTCCGACGATGGCAGGTGGTAGGGAAAGGTGGCGTGTCCACGTACCGGTCCAGACCATCAGCCGTCAGCCAGCCAGCAAATAGGCAAAAGAAAATTCCATTTTCCATTTTCCATTGGCGCTACTCCAGTACCTGCTGCCGCCATTGGCAAGCAAGCGCGCGCAAAAGTTCTTCCGCCGTACAGAGTCGAGTGCAAATTAAACCGAACAGCGCTCGAGGTTAATTTCACATGCATTTCACTGGTAATCAGTGCGTGTGGCAATGGCAACACGGCTCCAAGGCTCCAAAGCTCCAAGGCTCCACTATCGCTACTGGCACTTAGCTCCAAACTACTTATGCACCCGTCTGACAGCTGCCCCTTCCCCTGGTCACCCGCAACTCTGTTGCTCTTAAGCTATACTCTCTCCTTCTCTATCTCCCTCTCTCTCTCTCTCTGTGCTAATTTCAGGCTGACTACTGGTGTCCTAATCCGAAACTCATTTCCTTCCGTGCCAGCTTCACTCTAGCTCAGCGGAAATGAAGCGCTGTCAAGGATGGGCCCCAAATGCAGTCCGCCCCAAAACTTTCTTTGCATGTGGCCGGATAATTGCGTGTAACAGGTGTGAAAGACGGAATTTCCAATGGGTTAGTTAGTCAGCCAAATTCAGTTCAAGCTGTCCTGAGTACCCATCCCGCATGTCGCTTTGTCCTTGGCTTAATGCAAATTATTATTCACGCGCTGCGCGCGATAAATAACTCAGTTCATACACACAAACGCGCTCAGAGCACTATGGAGCTACCTGTAATTTACAGTTGCGATGGTCGTGCCCTTCATAACATATTTTAATTAACCAAAAAACCGACTCAAAACTTCACACCATTTGCTATCCTACCCGGTGGACTTTGATACCGTTACCTTGGCTCCTGGCGCTAGATGCTCATTAAGCCAAACGATGAAAAACTGCGTTAGTTTGTTTTTTATTTATTTTGCTTTTTTTTTTGCTTTTTGCTGCCTTTGACACTGTCGCATTATATGCCGCCAAAGTGTACGCACTGCGCATGGTCCAATTAAATTATTAGCCAACATGGAGAGGAGCCATCGCCAGATGGCCCCAAATGGAATGTGGAATCTTCAAATGCTGGCAAAGGCGCAAAGCGCATATGTTAATTATGTTTAGCGGGCTCAGCTCGGAGCTTGAAAGGGAATTTTAAAAGGGGCCAGCGTCAGGGTAATTTATATAAAAGGCGCCAGCCTTCGGTACAGTCGCTTCAAGATGTCGGAGTAACAAGCAGCTCTAATGCTAATGCCAATTCAGCTTACGAATTTTCAGAGCCCGACGACGACGTCGGCAAGGAAAAAAACTTTTATCGTACAATAGCAGTTATCAAATTGAACAAGGTCACAGCACCAGGACAAATCAGTCAGTTGTAACAACAACAACAGCCGTTAACAGTTACAGTCAAAATAATAACATGCTGTTGTTATTACAGCTGCAATCAAAAAGTTGCTCCTGCAGACAAAGGATCATCGGCAAGTCGTAGATTGTGCAACACACACAACTCAACCACCCAGCCACCCACACACGCTAAACCCTTGTTAAGTGGGCAGCTGGGCGTGCCACATTTACATGCAACGCCATCGCGCTGCACACGCATTTGATGCAAATGAAACATAATGAAATTGTAAAAGTTACTTTCCCAAAGATAACATTTACATTTCTCACACAGGCAATGGCTGCGCAGCAGCAGCAGCAGCAGGAGCAAACTGCAGCACAACTTTGACATTTTTATATGCTACGTTTTGTGCGATTTACTTAGGAATTGTGTTTAGCGTTGCGTATTTGACATTTAAACGTGTAACAAACATGCGCAACTAACACAGGATGGCACCACAAGGCGTGGCCCAAAGTTGCATTTGCATTCGTAAATGTGAATTTGCAGCGACAGTTTTAAGTGCAGCCGAGCGAAATGCTTGGCGAGCTGAACCACAAGATGTTAAATGCTGAAACTGCTCTGCAAAAAGCATAAGAAATGGAACATTGTTTAGTCTAACCACGACGAAGAAAATCTTAGCCTATGATATAAATTTGCTTATCAAAAATAAAAACTTTTCTTATTGATTGACATAAAAAACTCAATTTTTGTTGCCAGGCAAAAGAGCTCCTATATGGGCTTTTAACTATACTGTTGAGGCTTATGAACTCATACATCTGATGGATGCTAAAAATTGATTCGTCTGCTAGCACCATTATACAATAGATCGTTAGTTGACTGCTAAACAGCAAATTGCTAAGATCGTTTTTCATTAGCCAGCCATTAGACAGCTGCAAAAAAAGAGATATATCTGCTCATTAACTTATATATGCTTCAAACAGAGACAGATCTCTGATTAATACACAATCCACGATGAGTCGTTCACTGACCATGTAACTTATGGAGATTTGTAAGGCATATCAGATTAAAGTTACAATCATAGCTTTGAATAACAAGTAAGAAAACTGTAGTCGGGGTGCCCCCGACTAGGAATACCCTGATCCCAGTCCTATCTGCGTTTTTTAATATTTTCCGTAGTTTGTGTCGAGTATTAAAGAAAAACAAATAAAATTCAACATTACGACACCAAGATTCGAACCCATAAATTTTTGCGCAGCGCGCATCAACTCTACTAACCCCGACACTTCATAATTAAAAAAAATAATAAACAAATGAAAATGTTCTTTCACCGCCAAGAAATTTGGAGCCGTTATCCAAAGCAGCCACTGCACTGCTTACTCAAGCAGTTGCTAATTTAAAGCAGCTGATAATTCAAGCAGTATTTAATCACAATTTTGATTCTTGAAATAGAAAAGAAAACACGCATTTGAATGCCTGTGTTACACGCATAGGAAAAATCCGTGCGCGTGGCGCTGCTGACATGTGCAAATTGGCCAAACGTTTTGTTTAATAACTTCTGTTTTATTCAATGGATTTTAATGAAATTTTCAGCATATGATCTACATATTCTATTGGCTTCGTAGACATGCAAACGCCCCCACATAATGGCCCTACTTCCAACTGAACTTAAATTCTAAGAATTTGGAGCCGGTATACAAAATCCAACAAAAATCAAAATTGCTTAAAATACACATAAAACTAAATACAAAATTTGGAGGCTCTAGCTCTAAGACGTACGAGATATAATTTATTGAATATTTATGCAATGATATTCAAGTGTCAACTAAAATTAAAAGGCAAAGCGATACATCGCAAGTTGCGAATGTTCCATGTCTTTATCTTTACGTAGTAAATTTGCAAAATCAAATATGAAAAATATACGAATATTGTAATTTGATCACCTAATTTCATGTGATATTTAATGCCATTCAAATTCATTCACAATAAACTCATTAAACACATCTAACTTAACGTAAATAGTTCATATAATACCATAAAAGTTGCAAAATTGCTGAAATGGCGCGTAACTCAATAATGCGCTGGTCCTGGTATCATAGAAAGGTTGTGCGTCGTCTGAGTATATTCGGTCGTTTACTGGAAATGGGTCTGCCCAGCTCGTCGTTGGAGTGTGCACGTTTCAGATTCTTCGGTGTTGCCTCAGTCTCACTTATAATTTTGGCCTTGCAGTCATTGGCCATGCATATGCGTGGCATTGCCTCCGTTGAGACGAATACATTGCTCCTGAGGCGCTTATTGCTGCTGCCAGTGAGTTCCTGCAGAGGCCGATTTACCAAAACAGTTTTCTTTTCGCTAGAGGATTGTTCACAGTGCAGCGCAACTGCGTAGTCGGCCATGCGTGGAATATAAACTTGATTATAAAAAGTAATAATATCCGTGTCAGGGAGTCCATCAGCAAAGTGAACGGCTCGATAGATGGAACTGTGAGCATGCGGCTGGCGTCTGTACTGTTGAATGATGTCGCTAAAGGTGATGCGCAGATGCGATTTGCGCCCGCACAGGTAGATCGCGCACATCAGCAGCTGGTCGAGGTGTCGCTGCTGCAGCAGCTCTTCACCATGCACAATGATTGAGTGTTCCACAATGTGCCAGATCTGTGTATAGCTGGCAAGCAAAGAAAGACACTTACAAAGGTATGCCAGCCGCTGGTTAGCTAAATGGTAAAATTTACGTAGGCAAATTGTAACTGAGCCTGGTGCAGATCTGACATTTTCCTGACCCGAGCTCGACTGCACGTCTTGGCATCTTGGCAGGCCTGCACTGTTCACTAGGAGCCATAGTTGAGAATTTTTCCGCCAAATTAGTGTAGTCAGACAGTGGGTCTCGATCTCGTGCAAATGCTTGATCAGATTACGCGTCAGCAAGCCGCTTTCATAGCGAACAACTAGCTCGATTATCTTTTGGAACTCGTAAGCATCGATATCAAAGCATTTTAACAGCCATGGAAACTTCGTTTGCTTCTCATCCGACCCGAAAATGTGCAGCATCAGCTCAAGGCAGCAGGCAATCAGTGTAGCATTAAAGGTGCGCTGCAACTGCTTTAGCATCTGTGGGATTTTGATGGCTGGCCTGCGACGTAACTCGGCACCAATGATCTTATCCAGCAGTACATAATACAAGCCCCGAACAAGGTTAAAACGGCATTCAGTTGTTTCTTGATTCAACCCGGATTTGTGCTCAAGCTTATGGCACATCTCTCGCAGCGATTTCTCCAAGAGCCTAACATCCTCCTTGCCCAGAGCGCCGCCTATGTAAGCAGGTAGCGTTTGCGGCAGTCCGTCTGTCAATAGTTTTGCAAGATTGTCGCGCTGTGTGGCGCTCGTTAGCGAAGAGATTATCTTGTGGTTGGCTTCATTTTCGATGGTTTGCTGCTTTGTTTCTCGCAGCGTCAGCTCCTTGTCTGTTGAAAAATGTGTGGCGTGCTTTAATAGAACCCGTTCGTCAATTTCACTGATGTCGGATACGTGGACTGCGTAACTGCGATTCAGAGATGCCAAATTCACTTCCAAGAATCCATCTTTTACCAATTCGCGCATAACCCGATCGTTCCCCAGCAGTCGTTGATCCATAAACAAACCCATCACAGCCTTATGAAAGAACGAATTTTTCATAATGCGAGCCCCTTTTACCGGCAGTTCGGGTATGAGTCCACATATGGCATCGATGGCATTATACTTGAGTAGCAGATCGATGTCAAAATCATTGCTGCTCCACCTAGAGGGGACTCCCTCAAAAGACATGTTAATTACATCCGATTTGTGCACCTCAAGGGCATTAACATAGACCAGTTCCAGGGCACAAAGGAGTACCTGGCAGCCATTGACAATGTTGGTTGTTGCGAACGACGGCAGCTCGTTGCGTACCACTAGAAACAACAGCCAACCAAATTCATATAACATTTGATAATGGGCCCGACCTTCTGTCGTCGTTGGCTGAACATAGAGCTGGTCGAAAATTCGTTTGTAGTGCTGTAGGAGAAGCAGCGTGATGCCGAGACGTCTCTCCAGATCATTGATTTCTTGCTGAAACACTTCGGAGTTCTGTGCCAGCCAATTCCAGTGCTCCATTCTTTTTAGAAACTTGTTAATATTTATGCTAAAGCTGCGCAGCAATTTGGTCAGTGAAATGTTCCAGCTATTAGAGCGTGCTTTCTTTTCCCATGGCTCAAGATCGTTATCAATCCTGCTCGTGTTGTCTTCTTGGCGCATGTCCTTCATTTTGGTCTGCTGTAGCTCACTGTATAAGGCGCAGCATAGCCAATCGTCGGCCTCGTTGGATAGAACGCCATCTGCGTTTAGTTTGTGAAATGTTTTTGTCGCTTTTTGCCAAATGCTTTGCTCAATTTTCAGCATTTGACAGTTGGCAATAAAACGCTGAAGGATCATCCCCTTGTCGTCGTTTTTCATCTTTTGTATGCTGCAAGAAAAATATCAAATAAAGTTTCAATTATTGAGTGTATTTTTTACTTTCTATTTAATTACATTTCTATATTTTAAATTGTTGAATTAAATTTAATTTTAGGTATCTTTCGGCGCGAACATCAAAATGCGACGCAGGGCGAGAAACATGGATTGGTCACACTGTGTGTTGCAGTTGCGTCTGCCAAATTCGGAAATAAAATACAAATACTGACTGCACTACTATATCTTTATAACGAAGGATTAACTGATAATGATATAAAACTCTTGCTTAACTTGTAATGTATTTTATTTTAGCTTGAAACAGATTATGTGACCAAATGAGTTAAAATGTCATACCAAAGCGGCTTGTACTATAAAAATACTTAACTATAAAATAACAGAAGCCAAGCGCTAGCAGTTAAATTCAAATTTGTAGCTAATTTATAATTTCAAAAAAATAATTTTACAGCATTCGATCATTCGTAAATTACACATTTAATGTCCATTGAAACAGTAAAGATAAAAACTTCAAATAGTACATTTGTATTTTAAATAGAGGTCTATCTCATTTACAGTTGTACAAAATGTTATCTTAACAGTCAACAAACCATGATGTATAACAACCCTGAAATTGTATTGCTCTTGTTTGCAGCTAAGTTAAAATGCTACAATCAAATCGGGTATTGCAAAAAGAGCAGACTGATTTATATGCTATAGAGAAGAAGCTTGTTAAGGTGTTGCCTGCTATTCAGGAAGCATTGAATTCTCTTAAGGTAAAGCGATTTACACTGACGTATAAAAATTGCCCCAAAGTTAATTTTTTCAGGTCGAGGAGCTGCATTTGAAATCGCATTCAGTCCATCAAGTGATGACCATGGAACCATCAAATGTGGATGTGCGTAGTGAAGTCTCTGGCCAAAGCGTTGTTACGCCGAACGAGCACATAAACCGCCAAGAAATCGACTTGCAATTATTCAGAAGCGACTTGCAAAACTTCGACGTAGAAAACGATTCAGACTGATCAAAATTACAGCTGATCAGTTATTTATTGGTACAAATTTAGCTAATGTAAAAGATTTTCCAGACGCATTGCGTTCTAAATTAAAACTATTTTAAAATAAAGTAGTTATAAAATGTTTCAATATTTGTGAATTTCCGGTAAAAGCACTCAAACAAAGTAAACTAAACTACTAAAGCTATGTATGCATTATACGTATTGTTACAGTTATTGTAGTACAGTTATACGGCTGATATATAAGAAGTTTTTACACATCTTGTGCGTCGTCTTCGGACGATTCAGCCGAGCTATCGCGACGTTTCTTCTTTTTAGGTGATGAGTTTCCTTGCTCATTGCTGCTGCTAGAGCTGGAGCCGTCATCTTCACTGTCACTTGAGGAACCTAATTCGCCATCTGAGGAGCTGCCATCGTCGTCTTCATTTGAGCTGGAACTATCGGAGTCGCTGCTGCTGCTACTATCTGAGTTTGAAGACTCTGAACTGCTTTTTGAACTATCGGATGAACTCGACGATGAAGAGCTATTGCTGCGTTTTCTTTTGCGCTTTGACCGTTTCTCCCGATCCAGGCGTACTTCTCCGCCGGCATTGGAAGAACGCAGCTCATTCGTCGGTGTAGACTCCGCAGCGTTTGCACTCTTCTCTGCCAAATGCTTGCTTAGCTGTTTTGTCCGCGAGTTCCGGTGGACATATTTTCGTTTTTCCTTACACTCGTAGCTCCAGTGTCCCAAATTCAGACATTTCTGACAGCGAATACCATTTGGAAAAGCAGCGGCCAACTTTGCAGACCTGCAAATTGATAAGTAATTTGAAATATTTTAATACTTAAGGTTCATACTTACCGTTGCTTTTGAGCCAGCTTGCGAGCTGCCAAACCCACCAAAGTCATCCTAATGTAATATTCCCTAAGACGGTGTCTGGAGCCAATCTTGATAGCAACTTGTCAGAACTTAAGAAAAAAAATGTATAATAGGGTAGCTGTAAAAAGTTTTGGTACTATTTTGTTTTGTTGTCGTACGATAAGTGTGACCGTAGTTGGAATATTTGAAAATATTGATTATGCCAAAATACTTTGGAAATGATTAATTGTATTCGATTACAAAGTCCATAACATCAAAACATTAGTTATTTGCAATTAGTTAAACAATTTGTTGTAGAGCAATTAGCGTGCAAATATGTATTTTCAGTGCATACCGCTGTATTAGTTAATAATATAACAGTTTGCTTTCAGCGCATGTTCATTGAGGGAAAGACAGACACCATTTTGATTTGTAAGTGGCGATACCTGTCCAAGATTACCCAAAACAATAACATATCATTTTGCTGACTAAGAAGCGAAAGCTGAAGCCGATCGCTGATTGCGAAAAGAACAGGTAAAGGTCGTTTATTAGTCAGATGGTGGCTTTATAAAGATACCTTTTACATCTCCCATTTACGCAGAAACGCTGTTCAGCCATGACCGAAACTGAAGGGACGGGGACGGGTGTGGTGACTGCAGCAGCTGGCGCTCGATTCATGCCACCTGAGGAGTTGGCTATGCAATCGCTTATCAAACAGCTATACAAATCTCGACTATTTCGAGGCATTTACCTTGCGCGTTGCTTTGTAGAGCAGCTTGGTGGCTATCGCGATGTTATAGTCCTACAGCGCAGCGAACGTGATCTGGAAAAGCTGCTGCTATCCAGCACAGACAAACTACAATTGTTTTATCAACGCTTTGTGCCCAACATGTGGGTTGGCATTACCAAAGGCAGCGTGGGCAGCTACAAGCACATTCCACATCCTGCACAGTTGGACACATGCATTTGGACCGAGCTCACTGATTTGGCTTTCGCTGAATACTGGTTTAGTATTAAGACACTGCGGTTTCGAAGTCAGGAAGTTCAGATCAAATTGAAAATGGTTCGCGCTGTTGAAGCCGACCCTATGCCAACACCACGACCCTCACTAATGAAAAGTAGCCCAAGCAGAGCCCTCACCTCTAGCGATAGCACCAAATTGGGTGTTGATGACGAACGACAACCACCGCCAATCGGCTTGGCTGATTTTCTGGATGTCCTACAGCAGTGGCGTCAGTCAGTTGTAACGACCACGTACGAGTTTATGGCCAATGATGTGAATAAGCGCAATATAATGGGAGCTATACGCTTTCTGGGCCTGCTCATATTTTCCATAATAAGCGGTGCTGCAGTTGCACTTCGTTTTATGGGCATATTTGCGGTGCGATTTCTTTTTGAGCTCAGTCGCTTCACACACACCGCCACCCCAATCGTCTTCAAGCTGATCGAGTTTGTCAACAAAATAGTAGGCGCAACCTTCGTATTAATAGCGATGATATGGAAGGATTTGTTTGTAAATCGTGGTGGCTCTGCCCCTCGACAGCCACTCGAAGCAAACAATCAATTCAAGAGCATTACGTATGAGAAGTCCGAACAGCACCATCGCAGTCCGCGTTATGTATCGTCTCATTATCGGTAATACTATTTGAATTATCTTATCTCTATATCTTGGCTGTCGAAATTGTTAGGTTGCATCTGCATTTAGTCACCGGGTTAAGGGGTTTCGGGGCATTGGTTTCCCTCTCAATTTGTGTTACTAGCATTAAAATATAAACAGCACTCAGTCCTTCGGATTTCGTAGATGTTTGCACAGCAAACATTCAAAAACAGAGATTTTGATATTTTAAATTTTTTATTGGTCAACTATTTATATTATTTTAAACAATCGCGTGTTTTTTAATTTTGTATATTAATTCAATGTGTATTGTTTTCAAAATTATATAGTCTGCTGTCTGGAAAAGTTGATGAAATTTATTAAATTATTAAATTTATGTGAATAAAATGTGTTAAATATATATTGGAAAACCTTTTTACGCATGGAAGAGGGATATTATATGTATATGTATATATGAGATAATAAATATACATTTTTCAAGATCATTGCGCTGGGGACGTTCATTAACATATATGATCGATACGAAATTAAGATTTGCTTTATACCCAGCTCCTAAATTAATAATATTATTATTTACTTTAAAAATACAAATTTATTAAGAGATTCACTGAGCCTCTAGCCAGCAGAGAGACGAATCTTAAAGTCTACTATTACTGGATATATTTTAAAAGAATCTTCAGCTCTGGCAACATTTGAGGCATGCGTAAAATTAATGGAGTTTGATATGGTTTTTACTCGATTTCATGAAAATAGAAAAATAAATGGGAAGAAAAGAACTCAAACAGACGTGCCACAGAAGAACCTACGTGTAAAATTTGTAGTATCTAGATCGTATACAACAATAATCTCGACGAATGGTTGGACAGACATTCTAACGGACGAAAAGTACTACATATATGTATGTATATATATTTGTATAAGCTTTAAGTGTTCGACTAACTCGCCATCGGCTTGTTATAGGATTTCCAATATTATATAAAATTGTATAATAAATATAAAATTGAATGATTTCTCATAGTTTACTATTGCTTAATTATCTACAAGTATCCAATGTTGTTTTTATGCACACAGTATCAGCTGTATATCCTGTAAAATAGCAGTAAGGGATAATTAGCCAACGTGTTACCAGGTGTTCAGTTTTTAATAATTTACTTACCTTTGTATATAATATATTATCAGCAAACAACTTTACTTTAAATAAAAATAAAATATGATAATTAGCTACCAGAGTAAATACTAACTGCTTATATTTAAGTAAAAGCAATTTAAAACCGACTGCATGATACTAGTTCATGGTAACTAAATTTATTAAACAAGCTGCAAACTAAAATAGTGATCTACCAGCACAACTTGGTCATCCCAGCTATGTTCGAATAGATTTTCCCAAGAGATTCATATAAAAATTGAATAATATATAGTCATTTTATTTCAAAGGGCATACCAATCGAAATACTTTGTGCTCACAGATGTAAGAGTAGCAAACAAAACCTATATACTCTATTGACTTTGTTAACGAGCATACGAATCTAATTGTAGCTGCAAAGTCCAACAGATGAACATTAGGTCAAGTGTATATATAATCCATATACTATATTCCATACATGTACTTTATATTCAAGTAGTTATCAGATCTAGCTCTGTGTCTATAAAAGAAATGAAGACTTGTTTGTTTTTGTTAGTTTTAATAGTTATACACTTTCATTTTATTACTTTACTTGATGTTATTCTCATTAAATTGTTGTATATATATATATATATATATATATATATATATATATATATATATATATATATATATGTATATGTAGACTAGTATAATTTGTCGGTTTGTCACTAAATCTTATAGAAATGATGTTCTTTCTGTCAGTGTATTTAGTACATTGGTTGCCATGTTTCCAATCTTTTTGCATTCGGGTTGTTTTGCTGTTTACTGGTACTCCTTTAGTATGCGCTCTAAATATTACTTGACATTCAATGTTCGTTTTTTCTGTGCTTCTTCTTCATTTTGCTGATAAATATGCAGTTTTTCTGTTTGCATGTCAAACTTTAGTTAACGCCATCTCTTGTGTCTAAGTGTTATAGTTAATAATGTTCGCATTTATTATTAGTCAACTAAATTATATATATATGTATATATATATTGTTTTGGTGATACATATGTATACTTTAATTAGTACATAAACATAATATATGGTATATTTTTGTTTTAATTATTATTTTGCAATGTTTTATACTTATGGAAATTTCTGCGTGTGTATTTTATTTTCTTATGCTTCAAATGCTTCAACAAACGTTTTTTCATAAAATTTAATGAACTTTTGCTTTGCTTTGCTGTAAATTGTAAATTGTTTGACATACTTTAAAATTTGTAATATGCAGTTTTTGAAGTTGCTGTTGGATTCATTGTTTCGTTATTTGTCATATTTTGTTTATAGTTTTAGTAGAAAGGGAAACAAACAATTGAAAGGCAATAGAAATTGAAAATAAGTTAAGTTAAGTTTTGCTTGTTATTGTTATTGTGAATACTTTCGATCAGTTTTAAAAGTAAAATGTACAATATACAATCTCAATTTCAATTTTTTAACTTTTACATTTACTTGTTCAATCATCCAATATAATTCGCCATTGTTAACAAATAATTACACATTTATATAGCATACGTCATATGTTTTTTTATATATGTTTAACACGTCCTTGCCTGCTGAAAATAATTTATATATTTTTTTAACAATTAGTTAGACATTTAGAGCAAAAACATTGATAATATAGATTGTTTGCTTTGTTATTTCTTCTTCTCGTTTCATGCATAAAAATTGTTCTAGTGAAATATATATGTAAATATATATATTTTAATAAGGTTTTTTGTTTTGAACTGCTTATTGTTTATAATTGCGATTTTGTTATTTGTTTTGTGTTTCTGTTGTCCATTGTTAATTGCCTTGTTAATTATATTTTGTTAAAATTGTTATCTGATCTCAATTACTTTTTTTGTATTTTCTTTTTTTTGGCATTTATATTAGAAGTAATATATGCGTGTGTTTTGGTTAATATATTTATATTGTAAAATCAGCCTAGGGGTAAACACAAAACTTGATATTGTTATAATATATTTGCGTGACCATGTCGCCAAATCTAATACCATATTTAAATAAATTCAATTCAATAGTTATGTGAGTAGAACGAAAATAGTTTTTAATTTGGGTAAATTCAAAGAAAAATGAATTTTGTATTAAACAAACTTTTGCAAATGTGTTTTTATTTAAATAACTTTTTAATTTAATATTTTTAATTGCATTTTATATATGTATATATATTTTTTTACAGAGTACACACATATATATCTATATATATATATGTATATATATTGTTATATATATCTATATATTTATAATAATAATTTTTTACACATTAAATTCAAATGCATTAATTTTATCTGTATCTGTATTTATATATATATATATTCATATATATATACACATATACATACCTACAGACATATATGTATATATATATATATATATTTATATAATTTATTTATAAATATAAATAACAAAATGTTTCGCCTTGAAGCTTCTTTATGCATTCATTACTATATTTTAATACGATTTATACTAATGCTTCGATTTGTTAGTTATTTTTGTTTTGTTTTTTTGCCTTGTTTTATATTCTAGTTTAACCAGTTTCATGTGGAAATTACTGTGTATGTGTATGTACTTGTATATATTAATGTATATGTTGTAGTTAACTGTTTGCCATTTTCGTGTGCTGAACAATTGGCGAAAGTTTCCGACTCGTCAACCAATGTGACAAAACGATAAGGAGAATTCGTCGTATTTGGATTGTTTGAATTTAGCCAAAGTGGTTTTGAATCGTAACGTAATTGAACTGTTTGAGTTTAGTGTCTTATATCATCTTTTAAGGTAACTGAATAAAATGTTTGCGTTTTGCGCACTGCCAATGGCCAGATCTCAACCAACTTTTCCAATGGGACCCGAGGCACACTCTATTTACATTTAATCGTCTTTATCAACGAACTTTTTACGCAAACATTAGAAGAGCGCAAAGAATGCCTCGTCTCATTGATAGCCCAACATGGTGCGTTTTAGGCACTTCAATGTTCTGTTGATGCGGCAATAAATTGGTTGCGGATCGGTTTTGGGTTTTGTTTGTTTGTTTTTTTTTCGGGGTTTCGTAACAATAGTGAGAGAGTAGTACAAAACAAGTAAGGTTGTTAAAAAAGAAACAAGGAGTAGAAAGGAATGGAAAGAAACGTTAAGTTATAAACTTAGAGCCAACTTAGAAGAAACTACGATATAAGCTCTTAATTACTTTAAATCATCGGTATCCTCAATTAAGTCGGCATACTCCTCCCAATCGTTGTTAGTTGAACGTGTGCGCAAATTGGATATTGTCGGGGCCTCATCTTCATCGTCATCCTCCTTGTTCTGGTTCTGTTTCTGCTTCTGTTTGCTGCGACCAGTGCCTCCCTCGTCGACCACCTCGTAGTCCTTGAGCTCAGCCTCCAAGTCCTTCTCCCACTGTTCCTCTGAGAAAGATGCATCAAACTGACGATTACTATGTGCGTGGCTTATAGACAGCAGAGGTTAGACATATAAGTTCATATAAAAAATGGTTTCTCTTGGCATACATCATATTTAATATTATTGATTATAAATGTGTCTAGCAAGCATTGAAGTTTGTAATTTAGATTGGCCCTCCAAGCAAGTACATGTGTTTCTTTTCTTGTCATATTATGTTTTTACCTTAGCAGCTTTGCAACTAATCGCGTGGCATATAGCTAAGGAGGCATAGGTTTTCACAGACTGTTATTCGTTTAGGTATGCGCACCGTAACTGCAAAGTAATCGTCTACAAAAGGTGGAAAATGTTCTTTTAATATAATAATGAGGCCAATGTAGTACATTTTTGTTGTTATTATTGAACTCTATGCCCATAACCTGGCTAATTAACAAGTAGCGTGCAATATGCCCACGCACCGCATACAAATGATGGAAAAGGTCCTGCGCCATGACTTGCTTGTTGTTCTGATACCAAATCAAGTGCCAGAGATGACACCAAAAATATAAGCTATATATATACATATATATACATATATACATATATATATATATAAATATATAAACATTTGTGTGAGTAAAAACGTTGAATAATATGAAATTAAAATTTGTTACGTGTATTTACAGCATATTTAACATCGAAATCAAAAGCAAGCTAAATATTTTGATCTTTTTCCGTTTATATATATATA